GATTCCCTGGGGAATTCTACCAAACAGTCAAAGAAGAAATAATACCTATTCTCTGTTTCAAAAAATAGAAACAGAAGGAAAGCTTCCAGACTCATTCTCTGAGGCCAGCATTACCTTGATCCCCAAACCAGGCAAAGACCCCATCAAAAAGGAGAATTTCAGACCGATATCTCTGATGAATATGGATTTCAAAATTCTCAACAAAATCCTAGCTAATAGGATCCAACAGTACATTAAAACGATCATCCACCATGACCAAGTGGGATTTATCCCTGGGATGCAAGCATGGTTCTACATGCGCAAATCAATCACTGTGATCGAACACATCAATAAGAGGAGAGAGAAGAATCATACGGTCCTCTCAATTGATGCAGAAAAAGCATTTGACAAAATACAGCATCCTTTCCTGATTAAAACTTTTCAGAGTATAGGGATAGAGGGAACATTCCTCAAGTTCATAAAATCCATCTATGAAAAACCTACAATGAATGTCATTCTCAATGGGGAAAAGCTGAGAGCCTTTCCCTTAAGATCAGGAACACGACAAAGATGCCCACTCTCACCACTATTGGTAAACATAGTACTGGAAGTCATAGCAACAGCAATCAGACAACAAAAAGAAATAAAAGGTATTAAAGTTAGCAAAGAAGAAGTCAAACTCTCTCTCTTCACAGATGACATGATACCTTATATGGAAAACCCAAAAGACTCCACCCCCAAAATACTAGAACACATACAGCAATTCAGTAATGTAGCAGGATACAAAATCAATGCACAGAAATCAGTTGCTTTCTTATACACTAACAAGGTAACTGTAGAAAGAGAAATTAGAAAATCGATTCCATTTACAATAGCACCAAAAAGCATAAGATACCTCAGAATAAACCTAACCAAAGAGGTAAAGGATCTACACTCTAGGGACTACAGAATACTCATGAAAGAAATTGAAGAAGACACAAAAAGATGGAAAAATATTCCATGCTCATGGATCAGAAGAATAAACATTGTTAAAATGTCTCTGCTACCCAGAGCAATCTATACCTTCAATGCCATCCCAATAAAAATACCAATGGCATTTTTCAAAATTCTGGAACAAACAATCCTAAAATTTGTATGGAATCAGAAAAGACCTTGAATCGCCAAGAAAATGATGAAAAAGAAAACCAAAGGTGGAGGCATCCCAATGCCTGACTTCAAGCTATATTCCAAAGCAGTGATCACAAAGACAGTATGGTACTGGCACAACAACAAACGCATAGACCAATGGAACAGAATAGAGAGCCCAGATATGGACCCTCAACTCTATGGTCAAATAATCTTCAACAAAGCAGGAAAAAATATGCAATGGAAAACAGACAGTCTCTTCAATAAGTGGTGCTCTGAAAATCGGACAGCTATATATACAGAAGAATTAAACTCCACCATTCTCTTACATCATACACAAAGATAAACTCAAAATGGATGAAAGACCTCAATGTGAGACAGGAATCCATCAAAATCCTAGAGGAGAACATAAGCAGTAACCTCTTCGACATTGGCCACAGCAACTTCTTTCAAGATACATCTCCAAAGGCTAGTGAAACAAAAGCAAAAATGAACTTTTGGGACCTCATTAAGATAGAAAGCTTCTGCACAGCTAAGGAAACAGTCAACAAAACTAAGAGGCAACCCACAGAATGGGAGAAGATATTTGCAAATGACACCACAGACAAAGGTCTGATATCTAAGATCTATAAAGAACTTCTGAAACTCAACACCCCCCAAAATCCCAAATAATTAAGTCAAAAAAAATGGGCAGAAGACATGAACAGACACTTCTTAAAAGAAGACATAGACATGGCTAACAGGCACATGAAAAAATGTTCATCATCATTAGCCATCAGGGAAATTCAAATCAAAACCACACTGAGATACCAGCTTACACCAGTTAAAATGGCAAAAATTGACAAGGCAAGAAACAACAAATGTTTGAGAGGTTGTGGAGAAAGGGGAACCCTCTTACACTGTTGGTGGGAATGCAAGTTGGTATAGCCACTTTG